TCTTGTTTTGAGACAGGGTTTCTCTGTGTAGCCCTGGCTGTCCTGGAAGTAGCTCTGTAGACCAGGTTGGCCTTGAACTCACAGAGATCTTCTCCCTCATTGGTGCTGGGATTACAGGTATGGGCCACCACCACCCAGTTTCATACAGTCTAAGATCACAGGCCTGTAAGGTCAAATAAGAATCATGGTAGACAATAAAGGAGAGGACCAAGTGCTGGAAAGCCAGGTGGGAAGAGCAGAGCTGAGATTCTCAGGCGCACTCGGGGACTAGCTTATGTCTGGACCCGAGTGGTGGTTAGGTGGGTCTGGTTCGGTTTGTAAAATTCATCACACTATACAGTTACACATGTACTTTGTACACAGACTTTTTCATGAACAAAAAGTTAAAAGGAAAGAGTAGATGTGGTGGTGCTCGCCTGTGATCCCAGCACTTGGGGGGAGGGGAGGGGAGTGGAGAAGACAGGCAGATCTCGGGCTTGCTGGCCTTGCTGGCCAAGCAGTCTCTGTGAGCCACAAGTCAATGAGACGCTGATTGAAAAGTAAACTGGGGGCTGTAGAAATGGCTCAGCAGTTCCATGTACTTGCTGTTCTTACACAGGACTCACATTTGGTTTCTAGAATTGACATGGTGGCTTACAACAGATTGTCGCTCCAGTTCTAGGAAGTCTGATGCCTTCTTCTGGCCTCTGAAGGGACCAGGCACACATGTGGTTCACATACATACATGCAGATATACACACACATATATAAAATAAAGATAAGCCATTACATATGTAAGGCAGATAGTTTCTGAGGAACTACAGCCAAAGTTGTTCTCTAACCTCCATTCACAAGTGCACACACACACACACACACAGCTGCACACACACACACATGCAGCTGCACATACACACACTCACAGCACACACACAAACACACACACACACACACACACACACACAGAGCTGCACACACTCACACAGCTACACACACATGCAGTTGCACATACACACACACTCACAGCACACACACACACACACACACACAGCTGCACACACACACACACACACACAGCTGCACACACACACACACACACACAGCTGCACACACACACACACAGAGCTGCACACACAGCTGCACACACACACACACAGAGCTGCACACACAGCTGCACACACACACACACAGCTTCACACACACACAAACGCTTTCAAAAATAAAAGATACGTATTTAGGAGGATTTTGAAGTTTTGTTTTGTTTTATTTAGAGACCAGCCTGGTCTACAGAGCGAGTTCAGGACAGCCTCCAAAGCAACACAGAGAAACCCTGTCTCAAACAAACAAACAAACAAACAAACAAACAAAACAAAAAACCAAAAAAAAAACCCATTTATTTATTTAGTATGTATACAGTGTTCTGCCTGCATGTATACCTTCAAGCCAGAAGAGGGCACCAGACCTCACTACAGATGGTTTGTGAGCCACTATGTGGTTGCTGGGAATTGAACTCAGGACCTCTGGAAGAGTTTGCCAGTGCTCTTAAACTCCAAGCCATCTCTCCAGCCCAAGGATTTTGCAGTTTTTTGTTTTGTTTTTTTTTAAATGGGATCAACTGTTTTGTTTTTATTTAGAGATGGGGTCTCATTAAGTTGGCCTGGCTGGCCTTGAATTCACTAACACTAGGATTACAGGTGAGCCCACCATACCCCTGGCTTAGAACCATGCTTTCAAGGAAAAGAAGCAAGCCTTGGCAACAACTCAGAGAACTCCCTTCCTGTTCTGAAATCTGGTTTCTCCTAGCCTCATTCTATTACATCATTTTTATCAGGGATGACTACAATAAAATATCCATGTTCAAAAATAAACTTTTCAAAGAGCCAAGTTTGCTGAGTACTTGGTATGGATTGACTACAATAAAATATCCATGTTCAAAAATAAACTTTTCAAAGAGCCAAATTTGCTGAGTACTTGGTATGGATCAGGCAGGCACTGTGCTAAGCACATCTTAGGCATTAACCAATGGATATAGTTTTCGATGAGCAAATTAATTACATTTACACTCCCAAATAACCCAACCCTGACTGCAACATGAAGAGCAAACTGGTAAGGGACAAAAGTGAACCTAGGGACAGAGAGGCGAGTTGTTAATGGCCATGTTGTGAGGTTATGATGATGAAAGTGAGGGTGGAGTCCAGACAAATTTGGGGAAGAGATCCACAGGATTGGATGTGGTGGGCAAAGAAGGGTGAGCGGATGACTCTCTGGAATGGATTCGCTGATGGTGAGCGAACTGGTGCTGGAGGAGGTGTGTGGTCTGGCTGAAGGCCTTGCCGCATTCCTTACACTCACAGGGTTTCTCTCCCGTGTGAGTTCTCTGATGCTGTGCCAGGTGCGCCTTCTTCGTGAATGCCTTATGGCACACTTTACACGCATAAGGCTTCTCTCCCATGTGGATTCTCTGGTGAGCGGCCAGCTGCAAGCGGATGCTGAAGGACTTGACACACTCCCCACACTCGAAGGGATCCTCCCCCGTGTGGATCCGCAGGTGATTGGCAAGGTGTATATTCTGCCTGAAGGCTTTCCCACACTCCTTACACTGAAAGGGCTTTTCCCCAGAGTGCACTCTCTGATGTTGGGTGAGTGATGCGTGGTGGCTGAAGGCTTTTCTGCAGCTGTCACACTCGTAGGGTTTTTCTCCGGTATGAACCATTTGGTGCACAGTGAGCGACAAGCTGTATCTAAAGGATACACACGTCATATTTGTAAGGTTTCTCTCCCGTGTGAACTCTCCTGTGTTGATTAAGCCCAATGAGGTCCCCGAAGGCTTTCCCACAGTCGAAGGCTTTCTCCCCGGTGTGACAGTGCCTCCAGTGACAAACAAGGGACGTGTTCTGGATGAGGGCTTTCCCACACTCGATGCACTGGTACGGCTCCTTGCCTGTGTGACACCTCTGGTGTCGTGCGAAAGAGGAGCCATCACTGAAAGCCTTCCCACACTCGTCACACTTATAGGGTTTCTCTCCGGTATGAGTTCTCTGGTGAGCCGTGAGGGAGGAGCTCTGGGTGAGTTTTCTCACATTGATCACATTTGAAAAGTTTTTCCTGCATAGATTCCTGAGTCTTGTATGACCACTGAATTGGGGGAAAACTTCCACCTGAGTCACAACTGTGACTTCTCTCTTCTCAACTGTTCAAATGAAAGCATCTTCCAGATTTGATATACACACGCTCTCTCCTCTCGGAGAAGGCTTTGTTCGGATAACTGTCTCTTGCTCAAAAGGTGTGTCTTGCAGCCATCACTGAAAGCCTTCCCACACTCGTCACACTTATAGGGTTTCTCTCCGGTATGAGTTCTCTGGTGAGCCGTGAGGGAGGAGCTCTGGGTGAGTTTTCTCACATTGATCACATTTGAAAAGTTTTTCCTGCATAGATTCCTGAGTCTTGTATGACCACTGAATTGGGGGAAAACTTCCACCTGAGTCACAACTGTGACTTCTCTCTTCTCAACTGTTCAAATGAAAGCATCTTCCAGATTTAATATACACACGCTCTCTCCTCTCGGAGAAGGCTTTGTTCAGATAACTGTCTCTTGCTCAAAAGGTGTGTCTTGATCATTCCTTTCAAATACACACTCAGAATCCCAATCTTCTCTGAAGGTGGAGCACTCAAGTTTAGTGCTCCAAGTTCTGTCCATTAACATTTCAACATTTTGAGTCTTGCTTTGAAAACAAATCCTGGGCCCCATGTACAGATTGCTGGCCTAAGGACCCCAGGCCGTCACAGTTCTCTGATGTCACATTCTTACAGAAACTCTTCAGAGCCGACACAAGCTGTGGAGAGCTGTCTCTAGCCTTATCTGTGATGGTCTTCAAGCCCCTCGGGGTCTGGAACACAGCGTTGCTACCCCAGTTTTCCCCTAACACAGAGCACTTGGGTGTATGGTGCAGGAGCTGTTTTCTCAGCACTAACTGGGATAACTGTTCTTTGCTTAAGCCCTCTGGAGGGAACCCCTTGGTCTCCTGCACAGCCTTTAAGTCTGGGCACAGGCCTCTTGTCATCTTTCTTTGCATCACCCAGGGATCTCTTCCTTCCTTCCAGCATCACCTTCCAGTACAGACTCCTCGGCTCAGAGTTGAGCCATTCCCATTTCTCATTGGAGAAAACAACAGCCACATCTCCAAATGTCACCAAGTCGTGAGACTTGGCTTTAAGTTTAGTCCCTGTAGGGGCAGCTTCCTGTTTGCGGTTAATCTCCTGGAGGAAGTTGGTATCTCTGGAAAGTAGCGCTTTGTGCACAGACCCTGAGGTCACCGCTCCATGCCTACTCTGGGAGCCCCGGTCATGCCTCTGCCTCCCGAGTGCTGGGATTACAGGCGTGCGCCACCAACGCCCGGCAAGAGAATGTTACAATTTTTTTTTTTTTAAGTAGGCCCGGAGTATCCTTATCATCCTTAATTGTTTTTTGTTTTTGTTTTTTTTTGTTTTTTTGGGGCCCGGAGTATCCTTATCATCCTTAATTGTTTTTTGTTTTTGTTTTTTTTGTTTTTTTGGTTTTTTTTTGGTTTTTCGAGACAGGGTTTCTCTGCGTAGCTTTGGAGTCTATCCTGCCACTTGCTCTGGAGACCAGGCTGGCCTCGAACTCACAGAGATCCACCTGCCTCTGCCTCCCAAGTGCTGGGATTAAAGGCGTGCTCCACCAATGCCCAGCCTGGAGTTTTTATGAATTTTTTTTAAACTTTGCTCCATTTCCCAAGAACTGCAGACAGTCATCCTACTGAGCATCAGTGTTGTCTTAACACTAAGTGAGCTATCATAGCATAGAGTGGCCATGTGAACAGCAGTGTTTACCCACATGGATGATTTTCAAATTTCTCATTGTACAGCCTATGACATCAGGTAGATCAGATGTCTGCAGAATTCCTGTCAACACAACACTGGGGTAAAGTGTATCTTATTCATTACCAGGGCTCAAATCCTGCCCTTACACCTATGAGATCTGTGATCTTGAGCGTGTTACTAACCTTCTCGATGTTGTCTTCTGCAACTGTAAGGCTGATATGGCCCTGTGTTCCATCCCACCCCAAAAAAAAAAAAAAAAAAAAAAAAAAAAAAAAAAGTACTTAAACTGAGCATAGTGGCCTACCACTCCAGAAACTAAGGCAGAAGAATGTCGAGTACTCAGCCTGGGTTACATAGAGAGATTGTGTCTCGAAACACAAAAACCAAACCAGGAGCTATCTTTTGTATAGCAGAGGCACACAAGGCACACTAATAACTCAGCTCTTGTCCTGGCCATGGTTTGGGTGTTGGCCTAAAATCAGGGACCACTAGCTTCTCATCACTTTCCAGTGTTTCAATAATTTTCCATTATTCTCTGTCAAGTCCCAAAAAAGAACTTAAAGTAGACTTGTCTAACTATTTATTTGGTTGGTTTTGAGGGTTTGTTTCGTTTTGTTTGTTTTGAGGCAGAGTTTCACTCTAGAGCCCAAGTTGGCCTTCAACTCAGAGTCTCCCTGCCTCTGTTTCCTAGGTGCCAGAATTAAAGATGTGATCTATCACGACCCAATTTACCTATTACTTCAATAGTACAATGGTATCATAGAAAATCTGGAAAACAGAAAGTTGGGTATTATACTTTAAGAGTGTGTTCACCCTGCTGCTCTGAAGTGCCTGTTCTATGTGACCTACAGGGGGAGCTGTCAGAGGGTGGGGACACTGGTGCAGGGGGGGGACTTGACGGCACTCAGTTGTCCACACACACTTTAGAAAGAGCCACAACTTTTAGTGAAAAATGTCTAATCCTCCAATGCAGTTAGAAGGAGTAATGAACACCCAGCTACGCCTCCAACTTGGTCACACTGCGCACTTGCTTTCTTTCTCCCACACATCTTGAAAAATGTCTAATCCTCCAATGCAGTTAGAAGGAGTAATGAACACCCAGATACGCCTCCAACTTGGTCACACTGCGCACTTGCTTTCTTTCTCCCACATATCTCACTTTTTGCTGAATCATTTAGTATTTTATCTAGAGACATTTCAGCCTTTGTCTCTGAAGAACACAGACATTACCTTAGTTACCACAAGACCACAACTACTCAAGGGACTTCACTGCAGTGCAATGCTAGTTCCTAACATACAGCCCACATTCACACTGGGAATTCACAGCTGGGAAGCTGCCCTACAAACGATCCTTTTCTCCCAGGGGCTGAGTCAAGGATCAAACACTGCATGTAAACCACCAAGTTTCCTTAAGTTGGGTCCAGTCCTAGCTTGGGTACAGGAATCCAGGAAGCAGCTGCACTGTAGAATGTCCCTCAGTGTGGCCACAATCTGTCTGTATCTTACTTGGATCTAGGCTCAACCTTTTTGGAAAGTGCTACTCAGCTGTCTTCTCCTACTTGGCTTAGCAGCGTGTACAGACACAAAGAAACCCTTGGCCATAGGTGCTTCAGAACTGGATCCTGGGTTAAGGAGACATCTGCTCCGACCTTCCTGCAGGATAGTCTTTCTCATCTCTCTCTCAAATGTATTTATTTTTGTTTTATGCGCATGAGTATTTTGCCTGCATGTGTACCTGTATACCCATGAGTTCTCGAAGCCTACGGAGGCTAGAAAAGGGAGTTGGGTCCCCTGGAACTTTGAGTTACAGGAGGTTGTGAGCCACTAAGTATGCGTGTGCTGGGAACTGGACTCGGGTCCTCTGGAAGAGCAGCCAGTCTCTTATCAATAAGTAATCTGTAGATTGATTCGTGCAACACCACTGCCCAGCCAAGGTTGTTTTTTTGTTTTTTTTTTCACATTATTTACTGAGAACGAAGGTGCATGCCATGGCACACATGTAGAAGTCAGAGAACAATTTGAGGGAGCTTGTTCTCTCCACTGTCTGGGTTTCAGGAATCAAACTCAGGTTTGGCAGTAAGCACCTTGTCCTCCAAGCCATCTCACCCACTCCCTAATTATCTTTTTTTTTTTTAAATTACATTATTTGTGTATATACGTGTATGGGCACATGTGCCCTGGCATATACGTAGAGGTCAGAGGGCAACCTGAAGGAGTTGGTTCTCTCCTTCTACCATATGGGTCCCAGGAATCAAACTCAAGTGGTCAGGGTGGTAGCAAGCACCTTTACCTACTGAACCATTTCCCCGGTCCCCTGACATCCTTTTTAACCAGTTAAGGAGGATTCAGAGTTCAAGGCCAGCTTGGGCTATATATAAAGACTCTGTGCCCCCGCCCCCCAAAAAGGGCAAAATAAAACAGTCACTAGTGAGATTTATTCTGTATGTTAATCAGTATTTGCAAATCTGATTTGCAAAATAATGTTAAAATTACTTCACATTAGAAATTACTAGTATTTGTAACATTGATTTTACACTTCCCTTATCTGTGTACCTAAGCAGGTACAAAAAACGAATATATTAACAAGCAGTGGAGTGCACCTCATCTGTAGAGCCCTCATTCCCATAGCAGATCAAATTCTACATCAAAAAAAATCTATTTTCAAAGTTAGAACTGGTGGCTCAGGCCTGCAATAGGGCTAAAGAGTGAGTTCAAGGTCATTTTGGACAACTTTTATCTTGATTTGGAGACAGGTTTTCTCTGTGTAATAGTCCTGGTTGTCCTAAAACTCACTTTGTAGATCAGGCTGGCCTTGAACTCACTGAAATCCACCTGCCTCTGACTGCCATTAAAGGTGTGCACCACCACCGCCCAGCTAGCTTGAACAACTTAATGAGACCCTGTCTCAAAATAAAACAAAGTATGCTGGATATAGGTCAGTTTCAGAGCATTTGCCTTTATGTGCAAGACCCCAGATTGAATCCCTACATCATACACTCTCTCCCTCCTCCCTCACCTAGGTGTAGGTGTGACCCTGTAACCCTGCACTTGGAGGTTTCAGGCTGGTCAAGGCCACTCTGTAGAGTGAGAAAAGGGTGGGAGTGGGGAAAGCAAGGGGAAAAGAGGCCATATACCAAATCTAAGATAGAAAAACCTAGGTCACACAAATACTCTGAACTCTCTGAACACTAGCCACAGAGAAATATTTGGGAGCTATGAAGCTTTCACTGGCTGGAAGATGCTGGCAGAAGAAGCTAAGAAAGTAAGAATAATATTCTCAGCACAGGCCTTACCCAAGATGCACTGCAGCAGTCCCCAGTGGGCACTAGGAGCAAAGGACAATCTCTTGGAAGGCATTTGAATAACCTAACTCAGTTCTGATTTTAGCATCCCCTCCACCCTGGGAGGGAAGGGAACCAGTTCTAGTCTGTTATTCTCCCAGGCTGAGCCAGGATTAGCCTATGTGCTTGAGGCCTGGAAACAGACAGAGACAGCCAGGCCACTGGGAGCAGGGAACAGGCTAGTTATGACAGACAGCAACAAAACCTTAGGGTGTTGGGACACTGTCATAGTCTCTGCTAAGGTCCATGTAGTTTCCCACCCACAAAAGGACTGTGTAGACATCAAAACACACCACAAGTTCCCAAAGCCCACCAGGCTGATGGCCACAGGACCAGCATACCAGCCAGCCTCTGGGATATTACCTGACTGGAAGACATATCGAGCCAGGCCCTGCATCAGCTCCGCTGGCCATGTTGGTGGGGCAGACTCCCCTGTTTCTCTCTTCAGACGAAATGTCAATTCAAAGCCAAAACCACTCGGTCCGTCTGTTCCTGTAAACCTGAAAGGAATCAAACATTTTCAATTTAACTACCATAGGACAAAGTCCTACCAAGTCTCTGTGTGGTAGCTTCCACAGTATATCCTCAACTCAAAGGGAATGCCAGAGTGAAGTCTCCTAATGCCTGTTTTACCCTCCAGTGAGCTGAGGGTGTACATGAATGAAGTCGGCCCAGACAAACTCCTACACTGGTACTCTTGAGTTATAAGTTCCAGAGTTTGTGGTTCTAGGACATTCCTCTTCTATGATAGAAGAAACACTACTGAAAATCTTCCTTATGTTCCTGCTAATCAGTACCCACTCAGTTTGCTAATGTTACATATGTCCTGTGATCCAACAGTATGGCTGTGTACTCTGGGAAGATGTGGCCTTCCATGCCCCCTCCAGAGACACAATTCTTAGCTGCAGACTGGCCACCTGAGTCAGCACTGCAGACAGGTCCTAAGGCAGCCTGAAAATACTTTTCCTAAAGTCAGTACCCACACCTACCAGCAAGCTCCACTTTCTCTAACCCTCTATGAGCATTCCTCAGGCACTGGACTCCAAAGGAGAACAGCCTGAATCTCAGGGAAGTCCCTGAAACAGATTCCTACCAGAGAGGGTATCAATGTCTATTCAAGAGCAGAACCTGGTGGTGGGGGTGGGGGTGCCACACCAATCAGGTGAGAGAGGTGTCCAAGGAAGAGTCCCCAAGAGCTCCACAAAGCTTGTGAGGATGAGAAGGGTTAAGAGGTAAAGTATGTTCATGTAATTTTCAGTAATTATATCTTGTACAAACATGAACCACAATGATTATACACATGTAAACTCCCCAGCAGACAAACACAAACCATAAACTAAAATGACAGCCAACACCTTCCTTCTACCTCTTAAGAGCTGAAGACACAATAAGTGTTCACTCCTGGAATTCCTCGAGCATCTTCTTTTGTCACCATCCCTAAGAGGCTAGGATGGGGGACTGCGTACAAAGAAACTCGTGTGCTTGGGTAGGCCCAGCAGATCAGCCCCAGGCACCCCTCCAGGAGAGAGCACCTCTGAGAAGCTGCACTCAATTTCTTTCCAACTGAAAATGCATCCTTAGAAATCATCACAGTCAACTCCATTTGTATTTAAAGAAGTGTGCATAGTTTGCTTATTTTTCTGGTAACCAGATGGGAAGCAGAATCTATTTAGAAGGTACACATGGATTCTTGGAGACAAGGCTAGAAGTTGCTTAAAGTGACACTATTTACACTGTTTGTTTCCTTGATGGATTGCCCTGTAGGGGTCAAGTCTGAACAGAGACTGAGGGAACAGCTACACACATCAAGGAAGCAGGTTTGGAAGAGTGTGAAAATCCAGAGCTCAGTGGAATGACTTTAAAGGTGGTGAGCAGCCCTTAACCCTAGCACTGGAGAGGCAAAGGCAGGGAAGATGGCGGCCAGCTGGTTTACACTGTGAGTTCTAGGTTAACCAGGGCTACACAGAGGAACCCTGTCTCAAAAATCAACAATTGAACAAAACTCTACACAAGGAGATGGGTCAACTAGGGCAAAAGGAAGATCTCAGGCAGCCTCCAATTAGAGACAGCTTTGTAAAGTGCATTAGACCATTATTCCAGGGCTTTTATCTTGGGCCAAGGAAAATACATGATTTCTAATCACAAAAACTTGAGAAAACAGACTTAAAGGAATATATGCGTTATAGGCTGCACAATGGTGAGAATCCATGGGTGCAGAGAGAGAAGCCACTGAGCCATTTACACTCATACCACAACTCCTCACCAAGAGCTCTGTGCACACACACGCCTGAGTGTGCATTCAAGCACACATACACACACACACACACACACACACACACACACACACACACACACACACACGTGCACACCATCTGTCTCCACACAGGGTGCTTTCTAAGCCAGCTCTGTGGTGGGCAGGCTGGCTCGCACTTGGCTGAGGAGGAGGGGCAGAGCCAGCCAGATGGTTCCCACCTGGGTTTGATTACCACCCACCAGGATGGCTGGACACAACCTCAACACTCTGAAACATGAGTTTGGAATGGCCCAGCCTTAGGATAAACAGATGACCTGGGCCTGTCAGAGTTCTTTGTCAAAGCAGGCTGTCCAGGCAATAGCAGCCAAGCAACAAGATCATTCCGTGTTTAAAGTTCCCCGAAGGGGTTTGGCTTGGTCTGGACCACTTTATACAAAGGCTTTTCCTGCCAAAGAGGGTTTGTCTGACCAGAGAATGGAGCTGCTCCAAGGGAACAGCTGTCTTCCATGTCTTCTAGGATGACACATGAGAGCAATGAGATAAAATATGTACACACACACACACACACACACACACACACACACACACACACACACACGTTCATGCTCCCCCAGCTCACATATATGCAACCACACTACATACATATGTCCCCCAAAAAGTTTATGAAGTAAAAATGTTATAGAATTTAAGGTTAGTTAATTATTGAAGAAAATGGTTTTTGGAAATTGAGTGTAGCCTACATGTTGGTATTTACAAAGTCTACAGCAGCACATTGGATGTCCTGTATACTGTAATGCCCTGGGCCTTCACAGACTCACCACAGACTCAGACTCAGCCAAAGCAAGCAAGCTCTGGTCCTGGAAGTGCCGTTCAGAGCAAGTGTCCTATCTAGGCACGACTCTTTTTTTTTTTTTTAAGATTTATTCTGAAGCCTGAGGTTGGTGGTGCACACCTTTAATCCCAGTATTTGAGGCAGAGGCAGGTGGATCTCTGGGAGTTCAAGGCCGCCTGGTCTGTAGAGCAAGCTCCATAGTCAGAGTTACACAGAGAAACCCTATCTCAAGAAACAATAAAAAAGACGTATTCACTGTGTGTGTGCACCTGTGCACAGGGTGTTGGGGACAAATGTGGCCGTCAAAGAACAAGTTGTAAGAACCAGTTCTCTCTTCCTGCCACATGCATCCAGGAGAGCAAACTAGGGCTATCTGTCTTTCAAGTGCACCAGCCCTGTTGAAAACTTTTTTGCCATTATCAGCTATTATTTATAGTAGCAGTTACTAGTTCTGGGAACTCACCATAAAAGAAAAATCTTATATTTGGAAACAATGCTTTGGCATAAACATATCCAGTAGTATTTATTTTAAAAAATTTAAAATTCCAATATTCTATAAGTAGGGGCTTATTTAAGTCTCTGGTGCTTCATTAGGACACCACGTGACTAAAAGCCAGGGCTGCAGGGAGCAGACTTACCTTTGAGTTTTGAGGAGCAAAGAGCTTAGTGTGCCTCCACCTGGTAAGGTGGAGCCAGGTTATACCAACCAACACACAAGAGCCTCTACTGTTAACTATCAGGTTCAAAGGTAAATGGTACCTCATCAAGTCAAATGGTCATGAAATTGGAACTTTTAGAGAGAGAGAGAGAGAGAGAGAGAGAGAGAGAGAGAGAGAGGATGTAGTGGCATGTTCCTGTATTCCCAGAATTTGGGAGGTGGAGGCGGGAGTCTCAGCTACATAGTGGTTTTTGAGGCCAGCCTGGTTGCATGAAATCTGTCTCTAACACAAGCGTATACATACACAGATCTGATAATAGGAGTGAGTCTTGAGGATATCATGCTAAGTGAAATAAGCCTGACACTAAGGAGCAACCCTGCACACACCCACTTAGGTACGGCAACTACCATAGTCAGAATCAGAGAGAAAACAGAAGCCTGACTTCTGGGTGTTGGGAGACATGGAGAATGGGAATAGGTTTAGTTTCAACTGGGAAGATTAAAAGTTCCAGAAACTGAAGGTGGTAATGGCTGTACACTAATGTAAAAACTTAATTTTACTAAACTATTCTAAAGCTGGTGGCAATGGCCATTGACATCATGAATATTTTACCTAAAGTGAATGGGCACTAAAACAAACAAAGCCTGCATGGTGGCTCACAACTTTAACCACAGATCTGAGTTCAAGGCCAGCTTGGTCTATAAAGGGAGTTCTAGGACAGAGAAACCCTGTCTCAAAAACAAACATTAAGCAAGGTCAGTCGTGATGGCGCACACCTTTAATTACCTGCACTCAGAAGGCAGAGACAGGAGGATATCTTAGTTTGAGGCCACAATGGTCTACAGAGAGAGTTCCAGGTCAGGAAAGGCTGTTACACAGAGAAACCTGATCTCAAAAAACAAAACAAACAAATAAAAAAAGACCCATGAAGCAAAAGCTAACAACAGTTATCAAAAATACCTGTAGTTGGATGCAATGTGTGTATCTTAGCTACTCAGAAGGCTGATGCAGGAATGAGTCTCAGAAAAATAAAGGCTGAGGGCAATGGTTCACACCATACTCTAAACTCAGCAGGCTAAGGAAGGAGAATCATGAGTTCAAGGCCATCCTGGGCTACATGATAGGATCCTACCTGAAAAATGAAAATAAGGGGTCAGTGAGATGACCACAGGCACTTGCCACCAAATCTGATGACCAGTGCAATCTCTGGGCCCCATATGCTTCAGAGAACTGACTCCCATACATGTACTTCCATGCGCACACGTGCACACGTGCACACGTGCACACGTGTGCACACACACACACACACACACACACACACACACACACACACACACACACGTGCGCGCGCGCGTGCGCGCTAACTAGATGTAATAACAAATTAAAAATAAATAGCTAATGCCTGAGGTAGAATGGCAAGTCTGCCAGTAGCAACAGAGAACCTGGGCAGTGAGGGCATCACCTGACAGCTCAGGGTCAGCCTCCTTGGCCATGGATGCCCCAGGTGGACTACAAAGCCACACCACTCCAGGATCCCTATAAGAGGCTGTAATAGAAAGAACGAAACAGCACAAATACAGGCTGCAAAAGACCAACTGAACTGATGCCATCTTCAACTCCACCACCTTCTGGCTGATTCGAGAGCAAACTAACCTTCATGTGCCCCAGTTTTTTATCTGCGCACTGGGATAGGGATGTTCACACAGCGAAAGATTTTCAACCGTAAGACAGGAGAGCATGTTTGACTTATCTTCT